TACTTCTATATCTATTTTATTATATCGAATGATTTAATACTTATCCTTATTTTTCCATGTGGATGAAATTGCGATGATCACTTTTATGTGGGAGCGGATCGGGAGTTGAGAGATGAATATGTGACTACTTGGACGATGAGGATAATTCGAGTGGGATAACTTCGAGGGAGCTACTTTTACATGTATATTTTGAGAGTTCACGTTGAGTGAACCAGAATTTCAATTTATGTTACAATTACATTAATATAATATAAGATAGATGTCGTTATTTATTTATTTACTATTTTGCAAAAACATCATTATAGTAACGAATTCTAGGGTTGTTACATATCTTACCCTTCGTATGATTCAATTATATTGTATAAACATCAAAGTATCTTAACTAAAAATGGAAATTTTCAAAATTTAATATATCATGTGATTATTTTGAAACCTGAATGTCAAGAATTTGATCAATAAAAAAAAATTACACAAAGGTTATATCAATTAAAAATATAAAATTAAAATATTTATGTAAAATAAACTCAATTTATTATAAATTAAAAATATAAAAGTTTAATAAATAAAACATAAAAAATGTATTTTAAAGAAATAATAAAGTTTTAAATATGATTCACCTTAATGTCAAATTGGCATTCTTAATTTGTGAATAATATTCTGCTAATTGTAAACCTAAAATAGTAAAAATATAAAAAAATTCTCCATAATAAATTAAATTTTAGTTATGTAAAGATAGAATTTTTACATATTAACTTTTTGAAAGGTTGTTTTCCAACTTATGTATATATTCATTTTAATATCTGAAGAAAAATTTCATTTTCTTTTTCTATTATTTATTATAGGAAAATTCATCATAAGAAGCTGATAATTAATGTTAAATTTGAAAAATATTAACTAAAGATATAAATAATTTTTAATTACAAATTTAGTGATTTATTTTTTTATAAATAAATTAATTACATGTAGTTCACTTTTAATTAAAAATATGTTATGAACATTAATAGTATTCTTAATTTTCGTTAAATAATTCATTTTTTAACTGTTATAGGTTTTTTTTAAGAAAAACTACTTATACCTATGCTGTGTCTGTAATATATTACTATTGTAACTATACTTTTGAATCACTATGATATTGTTTGATTTTTAATATCACCATGAATAATTTTTAATCTGAATAAAAAAATTCATTTGTATATAATATATATCTTTGAAACGACTTATATTTATTTTATTTGTCTATGAATGTTAAATTAATATAATTTTTTTCTCATAATATAATACATGTATTTTTTTCTATTAATCCTTCCTTGCATAAAATTTCATATAATTTATTATTTAATATTAAATAAAATAATTATATAAATTTCTATAATGTTAGTCATCACATCAATAGATTTTTATTTTTATTATTATTGAATTCTTTCATAATATTATATGATATGGTGGATTTGAAATTTTCTACTGCTAATTAAAATATTTTAATGTTTAGGAAGAGTAGTTGAATTTTTCTATGGAAAGTTAATTACATAAAACATTTAAAAATTAGGTCTCATTTGGATTTCAAGGTTGGCCTAATTTGGATAACTAATTAAAAGTTATAATTAGACTATTAATTAAAGCTCTTATGATATGAAATAACTTTTGATTTTTATAACTTTAGCTCTTTCTTTTTATTTATTTATTTATTTTTTTAATTTCCCTATTCTTCATGAAAGATAGAAAGTTTAAAGATTTATTTTTTTCTACGACTATGGGATTTTTTTATTCTTTATTTTGTTTTGTTCCTTCCCTCTTTGTTAAAGTTTGTTCTTGAAATAAATTTATCACACACGATTTAATTTTTTATATATAATAAAATCAGTTAATATAAGGAAAAATATTTAATAGATAAGGAAAATTTAGATCATATTTTTTATGAGAATTGATGAATTACGGTTGATATAATTCTCAATGGTAAGAGAACTAAGGGTTTTAAAAGTTTTGTGTTTAATCATCTAATTGAAAATAATAAAATTATATATATAAAGAAAACACCAAAATGTGAAAAATCTATGAAAAATAATAATTAATTCTCCCACTATTGTATTGTTTCAGTGCTTATAATTGATTAACACGAAATAAGTTGATAAGAATTCTAATAATTGATAATATGGAAGTAGTTAGATCTAGTTGATTTATCATATTTAATTGGTTTAGAAATACAAATTAAATTCTAAAATTCATAAATCTAATTAGTTTATTATCTAATTGGTTAAATTCAACTAAATAATTTCAATTAAATTAATTATAATAGATTATAAATTATTAGAATATTAAAGAATTAAATCTCAATCAATAAAAGAAATTCAGATAAAAAAACAGCTGTAGAAATTTAGAAAGTCATTAAAATGCACTAAAAATAATAAATAAATTATAAATTATAGAAATTAAATGAAAGTAGTAAAGAAAAAATAAATATAATATAAAATATCTCGAACTAAAGTAAATTGAATAGAATTTATACAATAGTTATAGATGAAGATCTTAAAAAGGAAAACTGGAAAGAATTTAAATTAAATCTGGAAACTACAAAATTCCAAGAAGATAACTTATGGTTTTTTATTTTTCCAAACATATTCTCGCAACATCAAAGGCTATTAAATGGGCTAAGACACATAAAAAACAAATTACAAGACTTAGAGTTGGGTTCATCAATTTTGAAAAAGTATAGTTTGCAACATTTCATTAAGAGTTTTCTATTTTGTTAAGTAAAATGGTTAGTTTAAATTAGTTAAACCAAATTTGATATTTTTGTGAATAAAATTTTTCTTCCCTAAGTGAATTGATAAATTTAAGAATGAATTCTTTATAATATTAATTTGTTTAAGGGATAGTATTAACCCTTAAATAATTCTATTAAAATTATGTTAACAAGAGAGGAAATTGTATATAAACTTAAATTATAAGAAACTCATAAGTGTACCGAAATATATATCTCCAACCGAAGATCAAGGTATATTTATGAGTGAAGTGAGACTCTATTTTCGATCTTATGGTTTCGTTATGATTTTATTTTAAAAAAATGCCTAAATAAATTATAGAAAATAGTGTATATAAATTATTTTTGTTATTCCATGAATATATCATAACACATGCAACATTTGAAATTGATTGATGTTTATAGTGTATATATAAATTATTTTTGTTATTCATGAATATATATCATAACACATGCAACATTTGAAATTGATTGATGCATAAACATGATTATTCAATGATGAATTATGTTTTTATATTTTGACAATGAAACTATAATATGAAAAAATCATTTAAAAATTAAAGTGGATTAGTCCAACATACATCATATATATATTGTAATACAGATTAAAACAAGGCAAACCCATAATTCACTTCATAACCAAATGAGAGCTGACAAGAATGACTAAAAATAAAAGTTGAGATAGAAAATAAAAGAAAATGTAATAAAGAGAGTGAAGGTGGTGTTATTAAATAAATTTTGAACTTAATCACTGTATTAATGAATGGAGTTACCCAGTAATGGGGGGTTTGTGAAGTTAAAAGAAAGAAGAGAAGAAAAAGAGAAATTGGTGGGCTATAAATACGTCTGCTCTGCAAGTGTTGAAGATACAAAAAAAAAAGGAAAGCAAGAGAGACAGAGTTAGTTGTGAGAAATGGATTCCAAGGGAAGTGCTCTACTCCTGGCTCTCAATCTGCTATCATTCGCAATGCTGAGCTCCGCAGCGGCACCGGCACCTTCTGGAAACGGCGTATGTCCCGTAAATACGCTTGACTTGACTGTGTGTCTGAACCTGGCGAATGGTTTGGTTGATATTTCGTCACCCCCAGCCAGTCAATGCTGCTCCCTCATTGCGGACGTGGTCGATCTTAACGTCATCGTTCAGTGCCTTTGCATTACCATCAAAGCTGGCCCTGTCACTGTTAACGTCAATGCTAACCTGAGTTCAATTCTCAACAATTGCAAGATCGCCCACCCTAGTAATCTCGTCTGCCCTTAATCCTCCATCGTTGCTTCTCTCAGTCACATATCTCAATGCCTCTTTTCCACAATAATCTACCCTCCTTCCATGTATCTTTTTTTAAACTCCTTTTCTTATTCCAATAAACATATGTGACTCATATGTGACTCCTATTTTCCTATTTCATTTTCGCTTACATTATTCTTTTCTTTTTTAATAAACATATCAACAATACAATTAATTACTTTTATCCCTCTATTTTATGAAATCCATTCACTCAACATAAACAAACACATGCAAGATTGTAATAATCGATGTTCAAAATTACAATTTTAGCATATCAAATATAATTGATATTTTACTTGTCCACTTTCCTACATTCATAAAAACTCACCAACAACATTATAATTAATTACTCTTGTCATATCCACTTATATGCACAAGTGACTATTTTAATATATCATATCTTAAGATAAATTATTATCTCGCGACAATAGACTCGTTCAAGATAAATAAATATATAATAATAATTCTCAAAATTGCAAGTGATGGAAGTAAAATAAATATAGTAATTTAAAAAAAATCACATATCCATTGTTTTTAAAATCAATGCAGAAAATACACATACTACATTCTAATTTTTGAAGAATAATATATTACATTGATTGACTAGACAATAAACATAATATGTCTTCTTTCTACGTAGATTAATAATGATGTAGAAACTTTACACCTACAATTTAAAAATATCAAATAGAATCAATATAAAACTTTCTTTTCTAATAGTAAAAATCTCTATCAAATAAACTAATTTAGGTATATTATTTGCTATACCCTCTATGCAATGGGAACTTTTTTCTTTTCTTTTTTATGTACTCATTTGCTACACTGTAAATAATAGCCTTCAGCCCCCATTAGAAAATGCACAATATAGTGGCTTGGAAGGGAGACAAAAGGCTTTAATTTTGATACCTTCAACAATGGCTCAAACACAATTTACCTACATATATTTTCTGCTCATACCATCCAAACCACCACACAATGCGGTGCAATATCCCTGCACTCAATTACTGGAAGAGATGGGGAAGGGTAGTTTGAAGGAGATTTAGGGTCATGGCCTAATAATCTTTTATATTTTTGAAAAATAAAAATGTTTAATTATTTAAAAATACTATAATTTAATATATTATATATTTTAAAAAATATTATATGATAAATTTGAGATATAATATTAGAAAAAAAAATATTTATGTTAAAATATTTTTTTAATATTTATTTTAAATTGCCTAATTTAACTAAATATCATTATTCTAATTATAACTAGATTAAATTACTAAATAAAAATATGTTTAACTGATAAATTTTTTTGATATTTTTAATTATATGAGTAATTAAATTATTTATTTATTATCATAATAAATAAATTTATTTACTGTCGTTTTTAATTTAAATAATTAGTTGACATTTTTTTATTTTAATGTTGATTTTAAAATAATTACTTTCACGTATTTTTATTAAATTTTAACATAATAGTAGTTTTAATTTAATTAAAAGAAAAATAAGTGAGAAAATGATTAAAAACAATAAAAAGAGAAAACAATGAATGAAAAGAAAGAAAAAAATTATGAGAAATGAGGAGAAAAATTACATACAATTAATAAACAGATATAGCTTTTATTTTAATAATTTTTCTTTTAAAATGTATTATTTATAAGATTATTGGCCATTAACTTTATTTATATTAAATTAAATTTCATTAGTATTTTATTAGTGTATGGTAGAGTTCATCGAATATATTATATTGGCACGGACATTAATTTTAGCAGCTAATTAAAGCATTGTACAATATAATTATTTAATATTATAATATTAAAAGTAATTATTAACATTAAATTGTTGATTGACAAACTAAGTATAGTATTAGAAATAATAAAAATAATTGTTAACAATATATTAAAAAATAAAAGCGAATTATATGTAATTACTCTATTTTTTATAAATTAATACCTATATTACTTAATTCAATTATGTATGTAAAACTAATTTATTATTTTAATTTAAAATGTTTTTTTTATTACCTTATATTTTTCAATTTAGAACTAACCTCATTATAAGGACAAACAAAAAACTTAGAAAAGTCAGACTATAAATAATAACATAGAATTTTACGATAATTAAAATAAAATAATTCTATATATATAGGGACTTATAAAATATTTAAATTAAGAAATTATGATTTTATCATAACTAATTTATATTAAAATGTCTTTGGTTAACTCCAATATAGTTCCTGCAAATATTTAAAAAACTATGTTCATTAGAGTTAGGCATAATGTCATTCATATTTACAATTAAGGTCATGTAATTTAAATGATCTTTTTGATTTGTGGCATTAAATGTTTATAACAAATATTCTTATTCTTTTTAGTGTTGTGTTTGACGGATTTTCCCCATATACCTTATATTATACTGTACCCTTGTAAGGGTGTAAACATTTATGTTAAAATTAATGCTATGGTTAGGTCAATTATTTTTTCTTTTAAAACCCAATTCTTGAAGTATTGTTTAATTATTCGCAATAGTAGCCTTATATTATTTACTATATTATTAACTATTGTGTTAGTTTCAAAATTAATTATATTTAAATTTCTGAAAATAAAATACGATCTCTTTCCATTAATTATAGATAATTTCACGGTGAAAATGAAAAAAAGTATTAATTAAGATAATTAAAATAATAAATAATATTTTATAGATTACTTTTAGATATAAAAATCTATTAATAATATTTTTATTATTTTATATAAATAAAATAGTTATACAAAATTTAATTTTCTTATTTATTTTTAATATATTATGAACATATTTTTTTTAATACTTTTGTTATATAATCATTACGCTAATAAAATGTCATTCAAAGTACATAATAAATTTAAAGTTTTTATATTTGATAATTGCAGCTATGTAGAATTTTATAAAATAAAGTATATTTAATTGGTTTGAAAATTTTATAAACAGATGATTAAATAGTTTATTTTAAATTACTTTTTGGAATCAATGACTTATTTTTTATATTTTACGCCTTTTTTAGAAAATTCTTAAGTTAGGTGATAAAATAATTAATAGTTTTAATTATAATTATTTCAGTATACTCATGAGTTTTATCTTGTTTATGAGTCGAAGTCAATAGTAGTTTAAATACATCATCATCTCTTAACTCACATATGCGCATTTTAAGGATAAAATCGTGACAGACTGAAAGTTCTAAAGCAAACAATACTTCGGACATGGTAATTGACTTTAACGATGTTATCATAACGGATATGAGACCGAGACATTTTCTATCCTTAATCGAAACAATTATGACTATATGGGATGTTGCTTAGGTGTTGAATTAGAGAAGTTGAAATGGGATTGTGTAATTGGAGAATATAATATTCATGAATGTATAAGGGAGTTAATAATTGGAAATAGTAATAAACCTAGCATGAATACATGTACATGTGATGATGTTGAATCCAAATATACATGAATGCTTAGGTTATTTTAGTATTTTAATAAGTTTATAGTATATTTATGTGAAACTTTTTATGTTCTGATTTTGGTCGCTCAAGTTATACATTAGATGCTTAAGCAACATATTAAATAATGAAAAATGTGGTTTAAATGGTAAAAAATCATTTGGTGGTGATTCACTCAAGAAAAAATTATGTTGCTCAAACAAAAGGGTAATCGAGGTAAAATAATTTATACTATAAGTGTTTCCCTCAAGATGACACATAAGATGCTCAAGCAAGATATTTGTAAAGAAAAAAATATTTTTTTTTGTTTGTATTTCGCTCAAGTGACGAATGATTGTTCAAGCAAAATACTAATATAGAAAAATGAAATTGGTTTTATATGTCAGTAGCTCAAGTGATTAGAATAAAACTCAAACAAATAACAAACAAGATTAATTACTTGTTTCATAGGTACTTCACTTAAGCATGGATGAGAACACTTAAATGAAGTGGTCCTTATGCTTAAGGGAGGAGTGATCGCTTGAGGGAGGAAAAGAGAAAATTATTTGAGTTGGATATTGAAAGTATATTGTTTAAGCGAATAAAGGCCGCTCAAGTGATATACATTTGTTATTAGAATGAATATTGTGGTCAAGGAATAATGGGCTTAAGACCCAATGCATGTGTGAAGCTTATGTGAGACTAAGTTGAGCGTGAAGTTAGTACTTCGAATTTATTGATATAAATGTATGATGTAAGGCTAAGTCGAGTTAGAGGTTGTTGCTTATAATTGAATGAAATGTGTATGTTGGTGTGAGACAAGTTAACCTCAGACATGTGGTCCAAAAATAAAAATATGTACTTGAGATTGCAATGTGTTAGCATAACAATTATGTTTGTGCGTATTCAACAAGATCTTATATTTCAATAATAACCGCAATCATGTAGACTAAGATATCATATGGTGAAGAACTGTCGGAAGAATTGTTGATGATGATTTATTATGAGACTTTGAGATGTATGTCAAGATGGGTAATATTGACTGTAGTTCTACTTTATGTACAATAATTAAGATGGTACTGATAATTAGAAGTATCTAGTGCGGTATCTATTACAATAATATAATACAAAAAAGATGGTTTCTCGGTTTAGGCATAGTTCTAGCCTTTTGCAAGATGTTTAATTGTAATTTATATGATATGATGAAAGTAATATATATGAAATGATGCATCAAAATAAAATATGACATATCTAGTGTATGGTTTATAAATAATTAACTAGTTGTTATCTTAAACGTTTTGACTTATCGTATTTTCTTATTTGTTGAGGTTGATTATTATAATAGTATTATTTATATGAGAATAAATATTGATGACATTTCTTCACAATTGTAGAGAATTTAGTATAGATGATTATGTACATATACACATAATTTGTATTTTATATTTTGATCTTGTAATTAATAAAAATTATTTTATATAATATACAATATTTCATGTACATTATTTTCATTCATTTACCATAATTCTTTAGGTCATGGTAGTGATTTTTAGGATTAATATGGATTATTTATCTTTTTTGGATATATAATGATAACGTAAAAAAATCTATCTAACTAATTGATTTAATCTTATACAATAAATTACATTTGTTATTTTATATGTAAAGAAGGATTTATATTCATTTTATTATGAACAAAAAATTACGTTTATATTAATTTTAAATAATTTATGGATGGAAATTATAATAAAAATAAACAAATATTTTAAAATATAAATCATAAAACATTAGTTATATATTCAAATATTCAAAATTATAATTATTTGGTCTCATAATTTTCGCACTTGCATTGGATCTTAAACTCAATATTCCTTCATCATAGAGTTCATTTCATACAACGGAGATATATTACATGAATATCTTTTGGTTGCTTGAATAATATACTTTTAATATCCAATTCATATGAATTTGTCTTTTCCTTATTCAAGCAATCATTCCTATCTTAAGCGGTGTGGTCATTTCGTATTGACATCTGAATCAACTAACAAACAAAATAAATTCTTTTTTTTTTGTTCATATTTCGCTTGAGTAAACACTCATCACTTGAGTGAAGTATAGGCCTAGAAATTTTTCTAGAGTATAGATATAACCCAATAAAACAAAAAGGAAAGAATCTGTCATAATTAAAAATAATATAAAAGGGAAAAAACAAGATTTGTTATAGAAAAACAATTATGTTAATACTCCCCTTCAAGTTGGACGGTGGATGTCACAAATACCCAGCTTGGATATAGAATTGTCAAAAGCTATATGATGAAGAAGTTTAGTAAAAATATTCACAAGCCGGTTGGAAGACAAAATAGTAAAAAGATGAATTATGTCTTGTTGAATTTTCTCACGAACCATATGACAATCGATCTCGATGTAAATGACAGACTGATTGTCACAATAGACTACAGTAGAACCCAATGAAACATGAAAATCACGAAAAAGATAATATAACCATTAAATCTCACAAGTGATGCTGGTTAATGCTCGATATTCTACTTCAGAGGATGAACGAGAGATAATAAATTGCTTCTTAGATTTTCAGGAAATCAAGAAAGAACCAAAGAAAATACAAAATTTGATAATTGAGCAACGAGTGTCCAAACAACAGGCCTAGTCCGAATCAGCAAAAACAAAAAGACAATATCAGTAGAGACAGAAAAAAATAACCTTTGGACAAGTGAATCTTTTAAGTATCTAAGAATCGAATGACAACTTTATAATGAATATCAAGAGGTTGAATCATGAATTAACTAAACTGCTGCACAAATGAACCTTATACTTAAAACTGTCCTTGTCCATAATTGCTTATGAAAATACTAGTATATACCCTTTATCCAATGGGAACTTTTTTCTTTTCTTTTTATGTACTCATTTGCTACATTGTAAATAATAGCCTTCAGCCCCCATTAAAAAATGCAGAATATGGTGGCTTGGAAGGGATACAAAAAGGCTTTAATTTTGATACCTTCAACAATGGCTCAACACAATTTTGTCTCGGTTTACAAACTTCAAACTTACAAGAACACAATTTACAGTACATATATTTTCTGCTCATACCATCCAAAGCACCAGACAGTATTCAAAAAGTAATGTGGTGCAATATCCCAGCACTCTACTCAACTGCCTCCAATGGGGTATTGATAGACTCAATAACCTAGAATGAAGCACTTGAAAATTCCATCAATGATCCACTCTATCAGAAAGACTTCCGATACAAAGACCACTCTGTCTCACTGTCGATCAACTTTTGGCTTTGATACCACTTTTAAATCTTTTCAGGGAGATTCACTAGGGAGAGACAACACCAATGAGACATGAGTTCCAACCACATAAGGATTAACACCACTCTGAACCGAAAACCTTAAGACTTTAGGTTGAGAATGATCTTATTTTCTTATATGGTAGACTCGGGTTTCATTTGTGGGAATCTTCTTATTGTTAGCCCCTCGGAAAGACCCAATAGTGGTATCAGAGCTGATGGTTTATCCGATGACCGACTCAGTTGAGTATGATTATAGTAGGTGAAAGGTCTTTGTATCGAAAGTCTTGAGTTATAGGCAAACGAGTCCCGTTAAGTTAAACAGTGGTATAAGTAAGGTCATTACTAGGTACTCATGACTAAAAAATGCTTCCCCTCGAGGGGGAGGTAAATCAATGTGAAAGGAATCAAACTTGAGGGAGAGATGTTAAGAATTTAAGTGTGAGTGTGAAGTCTCACATTGGGTGGAAATGGGAAAATTAAGTAACTTATAAGCGATAAAAATCCATGACTTAATGTCTTAAGATTTTGGGTTGAGAATGATATCATATTCTCATATGGTTGACTTGGGTTCCATTTGTGAGAATCTCCCTATTGTTAACCCCTCGAAAAGACCTAACAAAGGTATACCAATGTGAAAGGGAATCACACTTGAGGGGGAGATATTGAGAATTTAAGTGTGAGTTTGAAGTCCCATATTGGGTAGAAATGGAAAAATTGAGCAACTTATAAATGAGTAAGACCCATGACCTAATGCCTTAAGGTTTTAGGTTGAGAATGTTATTATATTCTCTTATACAGTTGACTCGGGTTCCATTTGTGAGAATCTTCCTATACTTCCTTATATGTTGGTCTTGTATTTCCTACCATGTACCGATTTTACTTTCTTATATGTTATTCAATTTTCTTATTTTTATTCAATATGGAACTTAAAATCATACTTAGATTACCCAATATATCCCGCACTCTACTCAAATGGCTCCAATAATCTATTGATAGACTCAAGAACCTAGGATGAATCACTTGACAATTTCATCAATGAACGAAAGAGAGGGGAAAGGGTAGTTTGAAGGAGATTTTGGGTCATTGCCCTACTACACTCGAACAACGTCTAAATACTTTGCTCTCTCACTCTCCACTTGCTTCTTAATGTCTTCTCGTTTCACTTTTTTTTTAAGATGTATTGGATGTCCGGGGCTTGTATCAACCATATCTCCATCAATTCTTTGCTGCATCCTAGCCAAAGTCTTCACACATTTTCAGAATTTCCTTTCAAGTTTCTCTATCCTTTTCAGAATGTTAATTTTTTATGTCTCCTTGTTTATTTTTTTCATTCTATTTTATTTTTTTAATTAAAAATATTATAATTTAATATATTATATATTTTAAAAAAAATTATATGATAAATTTGAGATATTATAATATTAGAAAAAAATATTTATTTTAAAATAATTTTTTAATATTTATTTTAAATTACCTAATTTAACTAAATATCATTACTCTAATTATAACTAGATTAAACTACTAAATAAAATATATATTTAACTGATAAATTTTTTGATATTTTTAATTAAATGAGTAATTAAATTATTTATTTATTATCATAATAAATAAATTTATTTAGTTGTTTTAATTTTAAATAATTAGTTGATAATTTTTTCATTTTAATGTTGATTTTAAAATAATTACTTTCACATATTTTTATTAAATTTTAACATAGTAGTTTTAATTAAAAGAAAAATAAGTGAGAGAATAAAGAAAAAAAATAAAAAGAGAAAACAATGAATAAATGAGAAGAAAGAAAAAAATTTATGAGAAATGAGGAGAAAAATTGCATACAACTAATAAATGTAACGACCCTAGAAATCGCTATTATAATGCATTCACAAAATAGTAAATAAGTAAATAACGACATCTATCTTACATTATATTACTGTAATTGTAACATAGATTGAAATTCCGGTTCACTAACGGAATCTCAATATAGTAACATAATTTATTTATATATTATACATGTAAAAGTAGCTCCCTCGAAGCTATCTCACCGAACTATCTCTGTTGTCCAGATAGTCACATCTCCATCTCTCAACTCCCGATCTCGCTCCCACATTAAAGTGATCATCACAGCCTCATCCACATGGAAAAATATGGGTAAGTATTAAATCATTCGATATAATAAAATAGATATAGAAGTAATAATTATATATTATGATCAATTACAAAATCATCAACACACTAAGACACCTTCCGAAGTATACCCTAACTATGCTCGAACTCGGAGGCTATCATCCGTGGGCACATTGTGATCGGTACCCGCAGTACCATTCCGACCACCCTCCACACATAGTAGGATTACCGGCACCCTTCATCACTCATACTGGAGTACCCCTCCGAGCGCGCCACCGCGTCATCCCCCTATCGACTTCTCACCATCCGATCTCGTAGTCTACACCGAACCGACCAATCAATGAAGTTTGGGACCTCATTCAAAATCCTCCAACATAGTTATTACACTAAAGTACTCTGTATCACCCGGGTACCATTCAAACACAACAAAAATCATTCACATTTGTCGGATTCTGGACCACTTGTCCTCACGACTCATTCAAGTCAATAAATAATAGTACTTGATCGATTCGGCACCAACCCTCCGGCTCGATCTAGCCAATATATAACGTCTCATGACCGATTCTGGGCATCGATCCTCGGGCTCGATCGACCCACACATGTCATAACATATTACTTTCATTCTCTCTCTATATATATATATATATATATATATATATATATCTATATATATATATATATATATTTCTAAAATCATTTCCTAAATCATTTCGAAACTATTTCGAAACTATTTTTGAAATCATTTTCGAAATCATTAAATTACTATTTTGCCCTTAATCTTTTCCTAAAATTCCATGTATGTCCCTAAATGACTATTTTACCCTTGGACATTTTTGAAAATTCCTTCCATGTCTCGAAAATGACTATTTTACCCTTGAACATTTTCAAAAATTCCATTTATGTCCCTAGGATGTAAAATGACTATTTTACCCTTAAACATTTTCAAAAATTCCATTTATGTCCTTAGGATGTAAAATGACTATTTTACCCTTGAACATTTTTAAAAATTCCTTCCATGTCCCGAAAATGACTATTTTACCCTTGGACATTTTCAAAAATTCCTTCCATGTCCCTTTCTTCTTCCTCGTGCAAGATATGAGTAACAAATTTTGCAGATTTTGGCGGATTTCAAATTACTCAGTTTTAGACAACCAAACTAGTCCCAAATTCAAATTAAACATGAATTATATCTAATTTAAGTTGAAAACAACAATTTTACCATATAATTCATCCTTAATTTCTAGAATTTCATCAATATTTAAAACTTTGCAAAATATGAATAGTAATCATCTCCAGATACGCCATTTTCAAAATTCAGGTTTCAAATTTCTCAGTTTCAATCACCCAAATTAGTTCCAAATCAAAATTAAACCATAAACATGTTCAATTTAAGTTAAAAATAACAATTTTATTATATAATTCATCCTTAATTTCAAGAATTTCAAAAACTTTCAAACGAGTGAACAGCTTCATCGAATCGAAATTCTTCAAAATTAGACATTCAAATAATTCATATATTTACTCCTATTCTTTATTCACACGGTATTCACAGAGTACCCAACAATTCAATTTCATATATTGAATGAATTAAACTTCCCCTTACCTGGTGTGGTATTTCTAGCGAAGTTTTCCCACTTAATTCAAGCTCTCTCATGTTTAACCAGATCCTGCACGAGTAGAGTCTTGTTGCTTAAAATTTAGACAATGAGAAGAAGAATGAGGAACATATGATATGGGAGGAAGAATTTCCCGCATAAACCATTCCTCCCCTTCGAACATATAAAAGAAAAATTTTATCGTGCATGAGGAAAACTTCGTTACGAAGTTTTCTTGCACGATAAAAAGCATACGTCACAATAAACAGATATAGTTTAATAAATAAACTTAGAGATTTTATTTTAATAATTTTTCTTTCAAAATGTATTATTTTAAAGATTATTCGTCATTAACATTATTTATATTAAATTAAATTTTATTAGTATTTTATTAAGTGTATGGTAGAGTCATCGAATATATTTATATTGGCACGGACATTAATTTTAGCAGCTAATTAAAGCATTGTACAATATAATTATTTAATATTATAATATTAAAAGTAATTATTAAGATTAAGTTGTTGAATGACAAACTAAGTATAGTATTAGAAATAATAAAAATAATTGTTAACAATATATTAAAAAATAAAAGTAAATTATATGTAATTACTCTATTTTTTATAAATTAATACCTATATTACTTAATTCAATTATGTATGTAAAACTAATTTATTATTTTAATTTAAAATGCTTTTTTTATTACCTTATATTTTTCAACTTAGAACTAACCTCATTATAAGGACAAACAAAAAACTTAGAAAAGTCAGACTATAAATTATGACTTAGAAATTATGATTTTATCATAACTAATTTATATTAAAATGTCTTTGGTTAACTCCAATATAGTTCCTGCAAATATTTAAAAAACTATGTTCGTTAGAGTTAGGCATAATGTCATTCATATTTACAATTAAGGTCATGTAATTTAAATGATCTTTTTGATTTGTGGCATTAAATGTTTATAACAAATATTCTTATTCTTTTTAGTGTTGTGTTTGACGGATTTTCCCCATATACCTTATATTATACTGTACCCTTGTAAGGGTGTAAACATTTATGTTAAAATTAATGCTATGGTTAGGTCAATTATTTTTTCTTTTAAAACCCAATTCTTGAAGTATTGTTTAATTATTCGCAATAGTAGCCTTATATTATTTACTATATCATTAACTATTGTGTTTGTTTCAAAATTAATTATATTTAAATTTCTGAAAATAAAATACGATCTCTTTCCATTAATTATAGATAATTTCACGGTGAAAATGAAAAACAGTATTAATTAAGATAATTAAAATAATAAATAATATTTTATACTAACATAATTAGATTACTTTTAGATATAAAAATCTATTAATAATATTTTTATTATTTTATATAAATAAAATAATTATACAAAATTTAATTTTCTTATTTATTTTTAATATATTATGAACATATTTTTTTAATACTTTTGTTATATAATCATTACGCTAATAAAATGTTATTCAAAGTACATAATAAATTTAAAGCTTTTATATTTGATAATTGCAGCTATGTAGAATTTTATAAAATAAAGTATATTTAATTGGTTTGAAAATTTTACAAACAGATTATTAAATCGTTTATTTTAAACTACTTTTCAGAATCGATGACTTATTTTTAATATCTTACGTTTTTTTATGGAAAAATCTTAAGTTAGGTCATAAAATAATTAATAGCTTAAATTATTATTATTTCAAGTACACTCATAAGTTTTATCTCGTTTAGGAATCGAAGTCAATAATAGTTTAAATACACCATCATCTCTTAACCTACCGATGTGCTTTTTAAGGATAAAATCTTGACGGACGAGAGCTCTAAAGCGAACAATATCTTAGATATGGAAATTGACCTTAACGATGTTATCATAGCAGATATGAGACCGAGACACTTTCTATTCTTAATCGAAATACTTATGACTATATGGGATGTTGCTTAGGTGTTGAATTAGAGAAGTTGAAACAGGATTGTGTAATTGGAGAATATAATATTCATGAACAGTGGCGAATATTTACCATTGATCTTGGAGGGACCAAATAATATATTATTAATAAATAATAAATAAATATAAAAGGAAGAAAGAAGATGAAAGGGTGAAAGGATAAAATTGTAGATATACTTAAATATATTAAATGATTATTAAGTTAGAGGAGGACAAAATCATAAATTATATGAGAGTTACAAAACTAAGGAGGGACTCAGAGGATAAATTGTAAATACACAAGTAAATATATTAAATATTCATTAAGTTTGGGGGACCAAAATCATAAATTACATGAGAGTTACAAAACTTTGGGAGCTCACGACCCTCCTCAACTCCCAAGAAAATTTGTCACTGTTCATGAATGTTTAAGGGAGTTAATAATTAAAAAATTAAATATTTTTTATTTACTAATTTCATTTAATCATAATTAGATTAATTTATAATAATTTCTTAAATTAAATAATTTTAAAAAATAAATATTTAATTATATATAAATATATAAAAATATATA